CAATGATGCCGATTGAATATTCCACTGCTGGTTACTCTTGCTTCATCGGTCCAAATAACATTTCGTAGGCAATTTTCAGTTTCATTGCAACTCCTCATGAACCAGTTGCAGAAGTTGATTCTGCGTTCTTGATCACCGAGAAATAATTGATGTGTGAGCCTGACTTCATAAGGTTAAAATTTATGTTTCTTGAGAATCCTTTGGGTTCGGCTTCTGCTCACACCCCTAGTTACTTCTATTTCTCTGGTGGAAACTTCAGGAATCTCTAAAACCGCTCCAATTACTCCTGCCTCTACCCTCTACTTCGTCTCTACCTTCAACGGCATACTGTCTAGATCTGGGCTTGACGAATGATCCATGATGCATCAGGCTAGTTTCCAATCAATCAAATATTTGGGCGCTAAAGTGCTGGTTCGAAATATAAATTTCTTGCAGCTTCATTATTTCGGCCTGATTCAATAAAGCAAACAAACATCTGGCATTTTTCAAAGTTTTCAAACATTTTGATGCAAGCAGGTGACAGCTTTTAGATATTTCATTCATTATCGAACTGACAGATAAGCAAAACAACTCTTGCTTTCCATGGCTCAAGTTGAGATGTCACCAAATTGTGATTTTCAAAGAGAAATGCGTTATATCAACAGCAAGGATGACTAGAAATGAATTAACATATATATTTTAGGAAAGCTTATTTTTTTCCGATTTTATGAAGTCGAAGCCAACTATGGTTTCTATTTGAAATAACGAAGTTGGCTATGATATCAGACAATTGATAAGCGATATATATTTTTTGACATATATGCATCTTATTCTACATCATTAAGTGTCTATAGAAAGTTCTCACCGTTTGTAAAAATATCCAAAAATAAAAAAGTTGTGTTAATTTTTCGAAATCTGTCAAATGTCAATTTCTGCTTATATCTCGGAAAAGGTTCGAGATATCGAAATGCGGTTTTCACCAATCGACGTTTCACGAAAATCAAGCTCAAGAACCCTAGGTCGGTTTGTCTCTACCTGGTCTGGAAATACGGAAAACTGCCAAAATCAAGCAATTTGGGACACCCTGTACAGTTGCAGGGACGTTAATTATACTTGGTATGATAAACAATATAGCGAAATGCCACTACTTTTGCGTGAATTAGCAGGGACACGGTTTTAGTAAAAATGAGACAATCTCAAGGGCCATTTTCTCATTGATTCTTGTTACATCGTTGTTTTTCTATCTCATGGATACCGCAATTATGGGCCTACTTTGAAAGTAGTGGCTTAAATCATACAACATGAATACAGAGTGATTTGAGTTGATAGTTTGACCATGTTAAAACAGTGTTTTAACACTTTTCAGTCTGAATTTCACTTGGAAAATATGATTTTTAAGAAACATACCAAATTGTCATCTGCCATCCAAATTATCATCCATTCTAAAATATAATTTCGGAATAAATGCATATAGATAACAAGATAATCAACACAATTCATCAACAGATCGCTATAATGAGGATGAATGAATATGCCATCATGCTGACAATGATTTATAACATCTATCTGTATCAAAGCTAGCACACATTACTTCCCGATTATTGTGTCCTATTTCAGTGTCATACTGAAAACATAATCACATTGCGGAAGGAAAAGGAAATAACTGTGAAATATACCCATTTCGAGTCCTTTGAATGTAAAAACGAAAGGAAGTATCATTCAACTGAGCAGTGAGCATGCAGAATGAAATATATAAACCTATCATGAGACTATAAAAGTCACCATCAATTTGTTTGCAACGCATAAATATTCTTTGCGAAGGTGACCGAAACTCTTTGAGGATACCACGTGAGACCAATCCCTCTCTCTATACTTAGATGTACCCAAGTTTGGTTGGTATTAGAGTTGATGATTACTCATAGGAATATTTCCTCGATCGGAAAATGAGGTGAAGGGGAGTGGTAATTCGTGACGTAATCGCAAATATTTATCAGAACTAGATGTTGGGTTCATAGCTCAGTTCATAGAAATGTACGCATGCTTCAATATATATCACAACTGGATAGGTCAATCTACTTGAAAAAGAGAGTTTAGACAGTTGTAGAATATCGATTCTCATGAGTAAGAAATGTAATAGTTTCTGATTGAGGCATCCTTCTCATTTCTCACCACTCCTCGTTCAAGGCTCATCTGATGTCTGACCGCAGTCTTTACGATGACATTGTAAAATTTTGAGAAAAACAATGGCTGAATAGTATGGAGAGAGTAATAGTAATGCCCGGTTCAGTCATTGAACATTTATTGTAAATTTTCGTTTGTTTGTTTTTGGAAGTGTATCACATTAATTGCATAACCACGTAATTCCATTTGATCTGTTTATTACATTCAGTAACGTATTACGTTCCATAAACAATTTTCATGTTTTTTCACATTTTTGCCCACCCTGTACCAATTTGAAGCAACATAATAATTCATTTTTGGAATCAGCTCAGCAAGGGCAATTCGGAAATTGAAAATAAAGGGGGGTTCCATTTAGAAGAAATGGTGATGACGTCATTACACGAAAGCAGTTCACCCTGTACATAATATTATGATTTGAAACAATAGTAAATTGAAATCAAAAATCGACCTGGTTCGGGAATTTCTAATTTTATTGTTCATTTAGCCAATAAGTAATGAATTTTTGCGTTACTTTATGGACGCACTGTATATATGCGGAGTTTAACAGCAACTCGAGTAAATGTTTGATATCCAATCAAACTGAAACCTGATGGTGAAGAAACACCAACGAGAAATATCAGAAAAGCTGGTCGATTCATAGGATTTTTCGGTATTGGCACAGTTTGAGGCTTATTGGGATCTGCAACTGGTAGTCGATATGATGTAATTTACCGAAGTATTAGAGTGCCACTAGCGCTTTCTATGAGCAATCACAAAATAAGTTGCAAATTCGTATTTCCCATGTCAGAGAACCTGAAACTACAAAATTTCATGTTCATGCTGTTGAAACTTTCAGTTATTGAGGAATTTCAAATCTCCCCTAAGAGCATCACCCTGTATCTCCCGAACCAGGAGCATTCTTATCAGCCATGTTGAGCTAAATCTCAATATTCTAGTGTTTACTATCTGTAGTTCAGAAATTTTCTAGTCTAAATGAATCACCCTGTATATGACTGTATCATGTATAGTCCGAAACATGTTAAGATAATCATTTTTTCTACTACTGCTATGAAAAGTAGCGCATTTCTCATAGCTTACTTAGTTTCAAAACCATGTATTGCTCATCTGTGAGAAATATTTTTTTCTACTCACATAACCAAAATGGCATTTAGCGTACGGATATGTACCACCCTAAATGATCGATTAATCACGGATTGACGATCTGTGATTCATTTAAAATACTAAACACGTTACCATGGCGACATGATTTCTTAAGCACATTACCATGGCAACACAGATCATTAAACACAGCTGCAGTAATTTGAGACATGTTTGGTCTGTCAATTGTATCAACTGTCAACCGTTATTTTCAAATTTTGTATCAGAATTATTCAAACAATATTTGTTTGTATCAGAATTCTTCATTCAAAATATATGCGAAATGTAGACCAAAGTGAAATCGAAGAGAATGTTCTGGTACTTGCATATCTCCGAGAAGTATAATGATGAAGCATCCATCTTTGTGAACAATTTATTTTTTCTACTCACATAACTAATATGACATTATTTAGCGTACGGATATGTACCACGCTAAATGATCGATTAATCACGGATTGACGATCTGTGATTTATTCAAGATATTAAACACGTTACCATGGCAACACCTATTCTTAAACACATCACCATGGCAACACAGTTCATTAAACACAGCTTCAGTAATTTGAGACATGTCTGGCCTGTCAATTGTATTAACTGTCAACTGTTATTTTCAAATTTTGTATCAGAATTATTCAAACAATATTAGTTTGTATCAGAATTCTCCATTAAAAATATATGCGAAATGTAGACGAAAGTGAAATCGAAGAGAATGTTCTGGTACTTGCATATCTCCAAGAAGTGTAAAAATGAAGCGTCTATTTTTAGAACAATTTATTTATTCTGTGCTAAGCAGGACAATAAACGTGAAACAAAGTTTATTTGTTGTTTACTAGCACAATGGACTGGACACATCTACAACCAATATCACTAACTTATACGTGTCTCGCTGGTTGCATGCAGTTGCATGTATTATGTTCTCCATTCTCATTCCTTCCAAATTATTTCGTAGGTTAGCAGGAATAGCAGGTATGTTAATGAAATTTTCAGAGTTCGTAAAAAAAGCATAGTATGTAACGCGTTTATAAACTCTTCTAGACACTCGTTAATTAAACAATCGCTCCGCTCTGCTGCAAAGGTTAGTAAGCAATACACTGGACACATCTACAACCAATATCACTTATACGTGTCTCGCTGGTTGCATGCAGTTGCATGTTTTATGTTCTCAATTTCCATTCCTTTCGAATTATTTTGTAGGTTAGCAGGAATAGCAGGTATGTTAATTTAATTTTCGGGGTTCGTAGAAAAAGCATAGTATGTAACGCGTTTATAAACTCTTCTAGACACTCGTTTATTGATCACTCGGTCCGCTCTGCTCCGCTCGTGCTTAAAATACTCGTTACTAAAGGGACTCGTGTGTTTGCATCACTCGCCCTTCACGCTCGTGCCACAAGCTTTCACAGAAAGTTCAACTTTCCCCACTTGTTGCAATATATACTATTCTGATTGAACTTCGTAACTTAGTGTGACTTATTTCCTGCGTCAATTTTGTTTAGAAATTCGACAACATCAAAGGTTACTTTGTTGTATAAAAATGCTATTTTCCGATGAAACGAAATAAAAACAATTGTTGAATGAAGTATTTTCCAGTGTTTTTATTATATAAGGATACTATATCATCAGCACAAAGCAAACATCAGCTTAGTTTGAGATATTATTTTCACCGTGCATGTACCAGCTCGGTGCGGACAAAAGCAACAACTCACTTGTTTTCGCGCCCAATCTCGTCCAGCGACGAGTCCGGCGCCGGCGGTGCATCGTCCGGCGGCGTCGGTGCCGGGGGCGTCGCGACGCCTCTCGCCCCGTCGGTGTCGTCCATCGAACCGCTGCCGCTCGTCACACGGCCATCGTGAGGGAGGCGATGGTAGGTTGCGGTCGCATTCTCGGCGTCCTAAACACGATTGATATACAAGGTGTTTTTGAAATAAGTGCAGATATTCAGCACATTAATGTTCTACAGTCTAAGGAATAAAATATCAGATCGTTTCTAATTCGGTAATTTTGCACTTATCATGCGATGGGTTTTTTTTCCGAAATTTTTTTTGGTACTCACGTATTTTTGTCTGAAAAACAGGAATTTGATAATGATAATGTGAACAAACCATTATTCATCAAGATATTCCACTATAAAGTTACAAATTACGATAATTTTGCACTTATCATGCGATGGGTTTTTTTCCGAATTTTTTTTTTGGTACTTACGTCTGAAAAACACGAATTTTATAATGAAAATGTGAACAAACCACTATTTATCAAGATATTAGTAAGTACCAAAAAAATTTTCCGAAAAAAATCCATCGCATGATAAGTGCAAAATTACCCAAATTTCACCTTCTTTTCCGCCTGTCTTTGGATCGCATTTAGAACAATTTGCCCTTCTTTTTCCATTCCATTTTTTTATCATATGAGTCAACTAGAAATATGATTTTCTTATGATTTATCTATGTTTAGTGAAAAGAAGGAAGAATATCATTTGAAATAATGACGTGTGTAATGTCATTTCCAAAGCAATCTATTGACATTTGACATCTCGTATTTGGATTGCCTATGGATTAAATGGCCGTCATCTGGTATGCTTGCTGACTAAATAGGAAAAACTCGCCATAAAAATTATATTTCCTGTTGAATTTTGTAGCTTAAAATGTGTCATGAAAGTACATCATGAGTATATAATGTGTGACGCCAGATTTGCTAGATAGCTAGATAGATAGATATATAGATTTATTTGCTTCAAAAACATACAGTTTAAGAAAAAAACGTAAAAATTAGGCTAAACTACATGAATAAATATCGTAGGTATAAAACAAACATAATAATATACAAGCATTCACAGGTACATAATCATAAAAAGTACACTCAGTTCCAAAAAAAGTGACGAACTTGATATTTGACCTATCTTCTTAAAAATAAACAAAAAATAGTGGGCCGATTTCAATTTTTTTTTATTTGTTGTGCTTACACCCTATACGAGAGAGGCTTCTATTGCGAGCATTTTGTTTTTTAATCATTGATTTATCTCTAAAATTGTCCGAATTACAGCTTTTTTTGCTGAATCCTTGAAGATTACCAACTTTCTGAATTTATCGAGAAACAATTTTCTAATGAAATAAACTGATACCAATGATTTTAAAAAACATTTTTATTGAACACAAGATTATAAATTGGAATAACTGCTTGATACCGTGTATTGCCTCCTCTATAGCAACTCTAAGAACTTCTAATCCACGAGGCATACTGGAAAATAAGTTGCTTATTGTTTTCATTGGTATACTATCCCCTTCTCCCTAATTCATCCCACAAATGTTCTATAGGATTCATATCGGGGCTTCTCGCAGGCCATTGTAATGTGGTAATACTAGTGTAGCTTCTAAGAAGTTTCGCACTATTGCGGCGGTGTGTGGTCGGGCATTATCCTGAAATTATTGCCCACTAACTCTGCATAAGGTAAGACATACTGCTCTAAAATGTCAATGTACCCACCATTGAAACTTTCGCATTCTGTTATTGAATTTTGATTAAACCGTTCACCAGTTCTTCTCCACACTCTTTTTCTTCCATCCACCATGTTGAGGCAAAACCTTGACTCATCCGTAAACAAAACATTCGACCAATATTCCACTGTCCATAATTTTCAAAAAAATTTCTTCTAGCATCACGATGTTCGGGCAATAATTTGGAACTTTTTGCAGGTCTCCTAGCTTTTAAATTAACTTCTTTTAGACGTCTACATTCCGTCTGCTTACTTACTGCAACATCACGAATTTGGCGACGATCTTGCTGAACATTTACCGCAGTATTTGATCGATTCCGTAAAATCCGCAATCTCAAGAAGCGATCATCTCTTGGAGAAGTTTTTCGGGGGCGACCTGAACCGACCCTCCGAGCGGTGCTTCCTTGCGGATTGCTCTACGAGCAGTTGCTTCATGAACTCCCACTGCACGAGCGGCATAACGTTTACTACGTCCATCGTTTACTAATCGCAACTAATTACGCAACTGATCTTGCTACTTGTTCAGGATTTATTTGAGGAATTCTATATAATGATAGTCAATAAAACAAGACACTTAATTAATGACACAACGACAAATGGTCAAATATGGCAACGGCATTCGGCATTTTTTAAAGACAATGTGATCCTACCAGAGTACAACCCAATCAATTTTGAGAACTCTGATCCTTCAATGAATTCAATTTGTGGGATAAGCGTAAGGTATCAGCAAAAAAGCTGTAATTCTGAAAATTTTAGAGATAAATCAATAAATAAAAAAACAAAATGCTCGCAAAAGAAGCCCCTTTCGTATAGAGTGTAAGCACTCCGTATACCATTACTCAATTAACACACAGGATGAGTCAAAAATTAAGAATAAATTATGGTTCGAGTTATTCCAAGGAGGCTTTGAAAAAATGTTCACCTCTTTTTTCTTCTTTAAGACAAATGCATTACCTACCAACAGATGAAAAAAATTAAAATCGGCCTACTATTTTTTTTTTTAAAGATAGGTCAAATATCAAGTGCGTCACTTTTTTTGGAACTGAGTGTATATACACGTCTACTCGAACATTATTCATCAGTTAGCGATGATTGGATATCACAGAAGAATTCATCCAAGGTGTAATAAGATTCCTTCAGAAGCAATTTTTTCATTTCATACTTGAATTGGGATTTATTTTTCGATTCTTGTATAGATTTTGGCAGACAATTGTATAGTTTACATCCATTGTAGTATGAGCTTTTCTGATACCGAGCAGATGAGTGTTGAGGAGGAAACAGATAATCTTTGTTCCTTGTATTGTAATTATGTTCAACTTTTTCGGTCTCAAAATAACGTTTTATGATTATATACAAAACAGGTCACTTCATGAATATAAAGTGAAATCATTGTGAAGATACCCAGGTTTTTAAAATATTCCCTGCATGCATCTCTTGCTCTCAGATTCCCCAAGATACGGACTGCCCTTTTTTGTAAGGTAAAGGCCCTATGATCTTCTGCGGAGTTTGCCCAATGTATAATTCCATATTTTAGATTGGAGTGGAAGCACCCGAAATACAATTGTTTCATTATTTCTTTGCTAAATTGTTGTGATGAAATGAAAAGGGCATAGCATATTTCAGCTAGCTTCGAACACAAACTATTTACATGTATCCATACCACTCCAGGTTACTTTCTAAAATAACACCAAGCAATTTAGTATTTAGAGCGCTGGTGATTTCTGTATGATTCAGATGATTTCTGTATTATTTAGAGTTATGTGGTTAGTCGCTACAGTGTAGAACTTTGGGTGAAAAATGGAATCTAACCTAAAATTTTATTTTGATCCCTAAATTTCATCATTGAATCAGTGCCATTCGATAGTACACGTCGAGCTTTCTCAGTGTTTGAAATATTTGCACTTATTTCAATGCCACCCTGTATAGTTATTTATTTCTACTAGTTGCAAAAAAGTCCACTTTTCACATTCATTTTAGTGTTGAAAGAGTCACTTCTCCGCACTAGTGCGGGAAAAACTTTTAACACTCAAATGAGTGCAGAGAAGAAGAATTCGGGTTTTTATCGCGCGCTATAGTAGAAAATAGTATATCACATAACAAGTGTGGAACCTATACATAATGCGACAAACTGTAAGTTCACAATAGCTATTACTCATAATCAGTCGATAGAGAATATATTCCTCTTGTTAGTTGTTCCTATATGAATGAATAATTAATTGAACAAATCAATCAATTTTCTACGCTTGTAGAAAAAATATTGTTCGTAACTCATGCGGAAAGTGTCTTTTCCGCACTAGACTGCTTGCCCGAACTCCGCTTCGCGGCGTTCGTGTCAACAGCAGTCGCGTGCGGGAAAGAATCACTTTCCGCACTTGTTAGGAAAATTACTATTACGTCCTCACTGCATGGTTCTCCGTTACCTCAATTATTATTACCTTACCAGTGCGTTGGGCATGTAATACCAGAAGTTCGATGGTTCTTAAATTTTTTGTTCTGTTTCGAACTAGAGTTTTCTTTTAGCTTCACATTTCACAATTGTGATAATTATTGATAGGACCCATACTAGTTCAATAAATGAAGGAGGAAAAAAGGCAAAGTTAACGTTAATTACGCACTATTTCCATCTTCTGGTTGTAAGTAGCTTTTGGTACCTCATTAAACATGAGACAAAGTTTGACTGGAAAACGCGTGCGATGGCGGAGAAAATGGCCCCAAAAGACCAGGAAAATAGGTTTTCAGCCAATATCTCCTAAAATATGGCAGTTAGAGATTTTCGGTTCAGATAAAAACTGAAGTTCAGTTAATTTTCTATAAAAAATGTCCTTATCATTTGTTTCGCAACATCAATATTTTCTGCAAAGAAATCGGGTTGTTCACAAAATTTCCTCGCGCTCCAAAAACAGCAAAAAATTGGGATTCAATAAACAAAGATTAAATGAAAAAAAAAAATAAGGGTATACATATTTCAGGGATGACAAAGGACCTTATGAGGACCCATAATCAAGAAAATTTTGAGTAAATTAGTGCAATACAAAAAAAAATAGGAACAAATTCCTGGCGAGGTCAAAATTGACCGGGAGCAGAAAGTTTGACCCATGTTCCGATATGGCCAAAAGAGTCAAGCGTGACTCAATTCACAGGGTATGATAGCAGCAGAATTCCTCTTTCACATGAACTTCGAATCATGAGAAAATATGCATTTTTAACAAAGTTATTGAATAATTTGTTCCCCCGCCGATGTGTAAATACACGGACTGTGCTCTCCGGCATACAACACAGAAGCTTCGTGCCGTTTCCCCGAAACCGGGCAAATTTTCGAGAAAAATAATAAGGACCATTTTTGAAGAAAATTTACTGAACTTCAATTTTTATCTGAACCGAAAATCTGTAACTGCCATATT